GACTGTGGCATTGCCAGATGTGTGGTGGTGGGGGGGTCGGGGATCCACATGTGAGAGGAAAGGAGACACGGAGTGGAAGCGGACGTGAGTTCTCACAGCTCTAGTGCTACCATAAACCCACTCTGGAGAGAGCCCTCCAGACCTCAGCCCTTCCCTTTAGGAATAGTTCATGCTCCTGGCCTCACAGGGCTTGTCCAGTGGACTAAAAGCAGCTATTATATTGAAAACACTCACTACACGGGGGTCAGGCAGCAGCGTGGCAGTAACGAGACCAGACTCACGTGGGAAATGTGCAGATTCACGTCCCAGGACCCCCTGAGCACATCACACATGCATGTGCCTGAGGTCTGGACTGGCTGAAACTGATGGAGGTGGGACGTGCTTGTCTCTTTCTGTCTCCAATGGAAAAAAAAAAAAGAGAAAATTTTTTTTTTTTTTTTGAAAAAACGTACCATAGAGATACCAGGGAGAGTTAGAACCAGTATTATCCAGAGCTCTGTTTCCCAACAACCATGCTAGTTACTGGTCATTGTCACACCTATCTTCACTCCATCGGAGCAAACCTAAAACTGCCAAGGAGAAAATGTGGACTAGGAGGAAAAAGGGAGGCAGGAAAAGCAGAGCGAAGTATTCATGTGTTTATTGTGCAAGTTTATAATCAAAGCATTTTTCCTTCCCCTGCGTGCCGCAGCTGGTCTTTCAGCCAAACTTCTTTGATAACATCAAACAGTGTATCAGACCGTTCGTACCTATTATTCTGACAGTAAATTCCTCAGCTTCTGATTTAAGAATGATTCAAGGAGAAGACAAGTTCTCTTCTGCTTAACCTCAGGAGGGGGGACGAGGCGAACAAGCACGGAGCGATGCCAGGCAAAATACAACAGTCATGTTTACTTATTTCAGTCAACAGCCACGTTTGACAGATGAGGACACTGAGGCTCTGAGAGGGAAGGACCTGCAGGCCTTTGACAGGTGCTTGGCTCAGGGAAGAGCAGAGCAGCTCAGTCCCGACACCCCCATTGTGGAGGGGGGGCTCATGATCAGCCCCTGCCCCTTCTGTCAGAGTCACGGCACAGGAATGTAGGAGAGGAAGAGAAGATAATTATTCCTTTTTTGGAGTCCTCTGCGGATAGAGAGATGTCTCTCATACAGGTTGCTTATGATTCTGCACACACACACCCTTCACATGGATGTTTATGTGCACACTTAGACATGCATACACATATATACACAAGCATGCATGCTCATATAGTCACATATACATGACACACAAACACATATATACACACAAACAGATATACCCCACATATAGATAAATGTACATACACATACACACTCAGACACATGCTCATACACGCATATAGTCACATATACATGACACACAGCACATATATACACACAAACAGATATACCCCACATATAGATAAATGTACATACACATACACACTCAGACACACACACGTCTCATGTGTATACACAGTACACGTGCACACATCTGCATACACACACGTATACACTCAGACACACTTACATACATACACCTACTTTTACTCTATTGGCTAATACCCCTTTCTTTTAAAAAAAAATATTGTATTTAGCTTTATTTATTTACTTATTTTTAATTTGATCATAGAGTGACAGAATGAAAGAAAGAGAGAAAGGGAAAGTGAGAAGGCAAGCCACCAGGTCCGGGACTTGAACTGCAGTCGCCACGTGAGAGTCCAGAGTTCTTAACCACCATGCCACCTGCTGGCCCCCAATATCCCTTTCTTCTACCTTGTTTGTTCCCTTGTCTAGGACTCTGTTTTCTAGAGTCGTTATTAAGAATTCCTCCTTTCTCTAACAAAAGCATCTTCCACTGGGTAGCTACTATGTGTACTGATTCCTTCCCTGGGGGGGAGGGGGGTCATCTGATACAGACGTGAGTAAAAAGCTTGAGTGAAAGCAGCAGTTATGTGTAGGGGCTCTATTTTCACACTTTGATGTCACGCAACTTTTATTCCTACATCCTAATAATGCTGAAATTTGGATTTCAGGATCTTGCTTCTGGCTCTGAAAATGACAGGAATGACTCAACCTCCCAGCCCAGCAACCAGACAGACATGGGGAAGCAGGGGCTAGGCCCACTCAGCACCCCCGTCCCTGTGCACGCTGCTGTAAAGGTAAGCCAGCTGCTTCCTAGGCCCTACCAGGGCACTCTGCTCAGGGCCAGCTCAGAGCAGAGCTTTCAGTTAGGCCTGACCGTTCACACACAGGTTCAATCCGGTGGGAATGTGGCAAAACAGGAATTGAGAAATGGCCCATCTGTGTATACGGACCAAGATTCTACTAGCCCAGTCTGCTGAACACGGTCCTGCCTGCAGCAGAGAAGCCATGGGCTTGCTTTTCTTTGGAATCATAGCCCAACCAGCATGCTCCTGAATTAGAAGATTTCACAACCTCACCCTTGAATTAGACGTGGTTGACTGCAGCACACACAGGATTTGCAAATACCATAAAAACAGATATAGGGACTAGCAGTTAGTATAATGGCTATGTCACTGGATTCCCATGTAGTCGACCATGGTTCAAGTCCTGGACCCAGCAGCTTAAACTCATGCCAGGTGTGTGTGCGTGTGTGTCCAAGATCCCGAGAAGAGAATGAAGGAGAAGGGATTGCGGAATGGCCATCCCCTCGGCGGGTGATTTCTTGCTTTCTGTCTCTCTGTCTCACTGTGTCTTTCTGGTGAGCATACACGCCCTATAGCAAAAACCTCTCCAAAAAAAAGAAAAAAAAAAGTATATGACTATTGGTGAATTTGTTCCTTGCTGAAGGAAGAGATGATTCACATTATGTCTTATGTCGTATATAAAGAGAAACTTGATTAGTATTTTTATCACAGTATTTGAATTTTGCATCATTCAAATTAGGAAAACCTTAGATCTTGCTGTGCTAAGGAAAGTGACCAGAGTCCAAAGGAAGAGCAGATCATGTCCAAGGAAAAGCAAGATTGATATGCATTCCACGTGGTCTAAGCGGGCCAGTTGTTTCAAAAAGAGCCCCCATCCCTTCTGATTGGTCAATGCCTTTGCATTCCAGTTGCTAAGTATACATCACTCCAAGTTAAGAGGGTACTAGAGAGCTTCTCAGAAAATTAGGCAACCAAGGTAGGGAAAAGTCTCTCTATCCTGCTGACTTTGTACGATTTGTATGAGAGACGCACAAGAACATTCTATGAAACAATAAAAATTCTACATAAGATAAAAGTACCCTCCAATCTCTGAGAGGGTGTGTAACGAAGTGAAATAAACCCTACCCTCAAAAGGATTCCCCACTAGCTCAAATCAAGGTCTCCACTGCGCAAGTAAGAAAAACATATCCCCAAGGACTTCTTTCTCCAAAGATGTTCAAATTGCCAACAAGTACGTGAGAAGGTTCTAGACATCAGTAGTCATTACGGAAATGCGAATCAGTACCAAAGTGACACGCCACTTTATTCCCAAGAGGTTTGCTTTAATCAGGCGTAGAGGAAATAACAAGTGTTGAGGATGTGGAGAAATTAGAACCCTCGCACCAC